GGTCAGGCGTCAGAATGCCTGCTGCTTCGAGATGGTGGCCGGGATGCAGGAAATTTCCACCACTTTGTCTCCTAATGAACCCAAGGAACAAACGCTGAACTGTAAATGTTTGCTGTCGGTAGCCAGCAGCAGCCTGCCTGCCAGTGCTGCCAGCCGGAGAGGTTAGCAACCATTTCACTCCGCCTGCTGAAGAGCCTTTTATTGCACATTTAACTGTGCGGTGCCCACAAGTGCCCAGTGAGTGCTGTGCTTTTATGCTCTGTGTGCGGAGAAATCTGCTGGCAGCTGATGTTGTTTTTCCTCCTTGGAAGCGGCTGCGCTGACCCTGGCGAAGGGAGGCGAAATGGCGGGGTGGGCTGGCTGGCCATGGAAGGGGGGAGCTGCCCATCGCCACGAGGAGGGAGGGATGGGAGATAAACGGGAGACGCAGTCATGTGTAGTTGCATCTCCTGAGCTACAATTAAAGTAGGAGAGTCCAAATCTCGCTAGGAAGAGTCATATTTAACTTGGGCAAATGCTTGTTACTCTCTGTGCTCCAGCCTGCACATGTCGCTATGCCCTTCCTCGCAAAGAGGAATTGCAGCAGAGCCCGGGAGTTGGGCTGCTCTGGGGATTTGCAAAGTCCTGTGTGATCTTACAGCCATCCTTGGCATTAACTGCCCTGGGGCTCCGGCAAACCGTATCCTCTGGTTTCCCCACCCGCAGCGTTGCCTGCGTAGAGCTGGGTGCCATGTGTGCCAGCGCTGGGCTGCTCGCTGTCCCGGTGGGTCTGGCTGCACCCCGGTGACCCAGAGCTCGGTCCCACTACCAGCACTGGCTGCTGCGGGGTGCAGGCCTCCCTCCGTGGGTGCTTTGGTGCTGCAAATGCTCCGTGAGTTCCCCTGGCCTGCGGAGTTTTCCCGTGCATGCGGTGCGTGTTGTGGCTCCTCTTGCTGGGTATCCTAAAATCAGTGCAGTGTTCCTCAAAGTGAGTTGCGCAAACGCCTTAGCTCAGCCAGCTGTGGGACTGCAACTGAAAGTTGCCATCTTAAATGCATAGGTTAATAATTTAGGGACTATTAGAACAATCTGAATTTTCTTCCCCCTTACTGAAGCCTGCCCAGGGTCATTTTTCTCGAAGACAGTTCAGATGCAGATTAGCCATATTCAGGTTTTGGTTGAGCATCACTGCAGTCTCCCATCTTCCCCGCTTGCTTCGCGCACGTGCAGGCTGCAGACTTGCCAGTTTTGGGGACGGGTGCTTTGTAATTAGCAGCTCAGTGCTGCTGCAGCACTGTTAATTCTTAGACCACTTAACGTATCAAATTATTCCTTCCTGTGCTATTTATAGGCGAAGGGCTAAGTAACAGCGATGGCTTTAATATTAAATTCTCTAAAACTAATAGGAACCTCTTATTTAATTGTTCTAGCACTCTACATCTGGGGAATACGGTGCCACTGGAAGGCTAATAGACAGAGGTCTCATGGTGTGTTGGCAATAGGATGCCGCTAAATTTCCTGGTTAGGTTGTTTACGAGTTAAGACTATCGTAACTGTCTGTCTGTTCCTTGGAGGCTTAGTTGGATTAAACCCCTGTATATTGGTAATGCTAGCGGAGCTGAATTGGTGCTGGAGATCTGCTGGGAGAACTTAACAAACGGCTGAAGGTAGCCAGGACTCTGCTGGATTCGTCGTCTCCGGGCCCTGCGGAGGTGTTTGCAGCGGGCAGGATCTCCCAGCCCTGGCAGGGTGCTGGGAGGGACCTGAGCACCCATCGCTGCTTCCTGCAGGATGTCGCTGCTCCCGGAGGCTCCGGTGCATCTCCCGTGTGCAGGGGTCCTGAAGGCTCTGCTGGGTGCTCCGTACCGCTCCGAACGTCTGGCAGAGCCGTTCGTTCCATGCTGGTTTCCCTGGGCATACACTGATTTATGGCTGTGTTGGTTGAGGTGTGCGCTCCCGGGGCAGGGCAGGGGCTGGCGGTGGCTGCCCTTGGTGGGACGGGGTCCGGCTGCTCCAGAGCCCTGGGTGTCGGCAGGAGAAGGCAGTGCCTTGCAGTGAGACCACGATAAACTCGCAAACAGCCCCTCTGCAATCCTGCGGCGCTGATGGACTAATGAACCAGGAAAAGTGCTGAGTGTGACAGAAAGCGCTAAATCTCAAAGCAGAGGAAGACCCACTCCTTCCTCAGGAAAGCCTGGCCGCCGTGCTGGGTGCTGATACTGCTGCGGGCGTGCAGGGCTGCTGTGAGCTGCCTGGCCCCTCTTCCTGACCCCAGCTCTGGTGGCTGTCTCTCCCGGCATGGGGCTTGGAGTACGGCGCAATCCCCTGCACCAGGGGATGCTGGAGGAAGGTCCTTTCCCCAGATGGTGGAAGCGTGTTGGGGTCAGGAGCAAGACGGGTCAGGTCTGTCCCCTTCCTGTGTCAGTAGCTGACGTGGACCGCACTCAGGCCTCTTCTGAATCGGTTCCCGAGCTGCAGATTACCCTGCTGCCTCTTCTAGTACATATCATCACGGTGAATTAATTTTCCATGAGAGAGTCAGCTGTTTCTTGATTAGAAGTGCTCCAAAAATACCAACAGAGAAATAATTACAGGAAGCTTTCAGTGCTCATTGATATAATTGGACCTCCCCATTTGAAGTTTTTGCATCCACCATGGGTTTGGGTGAGTGCTTGCCCTCCCTCCCTGTTGCTCGTGAGCTGGGAGGCTGGGGTGCAGCATCCTGGGGGGGTGCACCCGTGTGCCTCTGCTCCAGCCAGTGGCAAGCTGTAGGTCTGATACTGTGACTTCCACGTGTTTAAATCACAGCGGGGTTGCCTTGTCCTTTGATGAACTAATGAGAGTAATCTTAAGGCAGTCATTTGGGCAAATGGATTCGTAAATTTTTCTTGTTTTCTGCATCAGTAGTGAGGGTCTGTTGGAAATTTGTAGGAAAACAGGCATCTCCCCTCCTGCTGACAGCAGCTAAAATCCCTCTCCCGTCCTTGTCCTGCTGCTCAGCGGCTGTAGCCGGGCTGTTACCGCTCTGTGTCTGTGGTCTGAAGTGCTCCGCGCTCAGATGGAGTAAAGGCGGAATGCCAGTGTGATTTTCTTAGATCATCCTATGTGATTGGATTAGCAATATCTCACGGCACGGAGAGCTGCTTTCTGGCTGAACCTTGGTTCAGGCTGAGCGTGCCGTGAGCGTGTGTGTGCGTGTGTGTGCATGTGTGTGTGTGTTCGTGTTCCTCCCTGGCGGGGGCAGGTGGTGGGGATGCTCGGAATCTCCTTCCCCTGCTGGCTGTGGCTCCAGCACGATGGCACTGGGAAGTGCTGCTTCTCCAGTACAGGAGCCCTGGGTTCTCTGTGGTCAGCCAGCTCAGGCTTTATAAATTCAAAACATAACCCGTTTGCTCATCAGAAGTGAAGTAAACTGAAGAGTGAGGTTTGAGTTCGGTACAGTGATTTCCCAAATGTTGGTCCAGACCCAGCCCTGGCTGCAGGAGCTCCGTGGAGCTAATTTAGGCACCGTGTGGGTAGGGGGAGTGAAATGTTTTAAATAATGTGTTTTAAATCCGATTTTCTGACCCGAATGAATTGCATGTTCTGGGTAAGCGTGGGGTTTGTGAAGCTTATCTCACAGTGGTGGGTCGTTCCGGGGGCAGGAGAAGAGGCTCTCCTCCTTGGGCTGGGGTGGGTGTGAGTGTGGGGGTTCTTGGGGTCGGGTGGATGCCGTGTTGATGGCACAGCTTGTCCATGGCCAGGTATCCCCTTAATCATCTGAGTAAAGGGGCTAATACGTGGAAAGGCAACTGCTGCTTTAAACAAAGCTGGTGTTGTTTGTGTTCGCGCTCCCCTGGGGTGGTGGCTGCTGTGACAGTCTGCTCAGGGTTCCCGCTGCAGCCCCGTGCGCGTCCGACCCCGCGAGCCGTGTCATGTGGCAGCGGCGAGGCCCGGCTCCGTCCGCCCAACAAGCGAGCAGGGAACAAACGGCGCTTTCACTGCGCCCGACAAACCTCCCTCTTCCTTGCATTAAGCGGGGATTGGATGCCGATTTGTGTTTCTGCTGTTCTTTCATGCTTCACCAAACCTAGCTACGCTTTATCCAGCGAGCAGAAGGCATAACAAAGTAGAAATCTCAATTACTTGTTCAGCATCGGTGAGTTACGCCTTGCTGCTGACTCAAACTCCAGGCAAGCTGGAAGGTGCAAGCTTGGTGCCCCCCTTCCCTTACCAACAGCCTGGTCCTGAGAAACACTTTGGCTCGAGTGGCTTCAGCTACCCTTTGCTCTGTGCAGAGGGACGGGGAGCTGTGCCCCCGCTCTTGGTTAGCCTTTTGGGTTTTTAGAGGGGGAGCTGGACAGTCTCTGCCCCTCGCTGTTCGCTGACAGCCAAGGTGAGCCTGTGCGGTGCTGCTCTCCCTGACGAGTTGATGCTCGGCTTCGGAGAATGCTGTTCCATCGCTGGATGTGGTGGTGTGTGCTGCCTCCGGGCAGAGCCTCGCAGTGCTGCTGGCTGCAGCTTGGGGTGGGGGCTGTCATCGGGGCAGGATGTTATAAATGTGTCCTTCAGAGCCGTATGCCCCAAGCATAATATGTCACCTTTGCAATGGAGGCAGAGCTGTGACGTGGGCTGATGAGCTCAAGGAGAAGATGTCTTGTCATGGTCATCTGGGAGACCTGCACAGGTAGGTTGGGCCGGAGCTGCCCTGCGCGTCCTGCTCTCGACCCCAAGGCCGTGCCGGCTGGACTGCATCGCTTGCTTATTTACCACTAACCCCTAAGCAGCCCATTTCCACAAACCTTTCTCCCCCCTCCCAGGAGCTCCCATTTCCGTAAGTCCTGGCTGGCTGCGGGGAGGGATGCTGGGGCCGAAGCACTGGTGCTGGGAGGTGGTGCGGTTCCACGCTGAGCTCCGAGCAGGAGTGGAGTCCGAGTGCAAGCGTACAGAGGTTTTAGGGCTGGGTGCCAGGCTTTGCATGGGGAATTTCAGCTCCATTTGCTTCTGGCCTGTGGTGCCACATCGAAATGCCAGCTTCTCCTTGAGCCTTATCCTGGGGATCTGCCAGAGCGAATTCCCCGTCCTGCCGAGCAGGAGCAGCCCTCGCTGTCTCTCAGTGTCATTGCAGCGGGAGTGTCTCGCCAAGACACTGCACCGGAGCATGTGTTTATTCTGTAGGTGTTACTAACTGATGCAGTGGTTGCTCTGGGTTGCAGAGCTGGCCCCAGGAGAGGTGAGTGAGCTAAGAGACACACCGGAAGGCTGTGCTGCCATTCAGCGTGACCTGGACTGGCTGGAAAGTTGGGCAGAGAGGAACCTGATGAGGTTCAACAAAGGCAAATGCAGGGTCCTGCACTTGGGGATGAACAACCCCATGCACCAGTACAGGCTTGGGGCAGACCTGCTGGAGAGCAGCTCTGCGGAGAGGGACCTGGGTGTCCTGGTGGACGACAGGTTGACCATGAGCCAGCAGTGTGCCCT